GGATCCGTCTCATATTCTGGATTTCAGTACAGTACAGCTGGACAGTAATTTAACTTATGATATAGAGCTGGTGGCTATTTTAGATCGGCAGGTTCGAAAGCTGAGGTCAAAGAGCATAGCATCAATGAAGGTGCAGTGGAGAGGCCAGTCAGTCGGAGAAGCTACTTGGGAGATTTAGTCTAATAACTTGTTTGGATGGTTGTTACACATTGTATCGTATTGTATTGTTATCCCAAAACGATATTTGTTTGATTGTTTCACTAAAATTGGTTGTATTATATTGTTAAATTATTGTTCCGTAACAATGAAAAGTCCCCCTTTTTTAAACAACTTATTGGTGTGGTGGGCATGTTTTCTATTTTTCTTTCCAATTATGCCCTAACTTATTAGTCCATAATTCTATTTTACCATTTACCTTTTTTTTTTAAATTTTAACTCCAAATCTCCAACCTATAGCTTATTTTGTCTTCGTCCCTTTTTTTTTCAGAATTTCTGCCGCTTCCAACTCCAACGTAAAAGGTTCTAATGTGATTTTAATTCCAATTCTAATTACTTTAACTATAATTCCTTGTTCCTTTGTTCCGCCAATTTCTTTATAAGATATATTTGGTGATAAATTAGTAGAAAGTGGTTTTCTTAAATTATTTTTATGCGTAATTCTTGATAAATTTAGTATTTAAACAATTGAAGGTATTTTAGTAAACTTATTAGTTACGGTACAGTATGATACCGTCAAAAAAACTAAAACCTTTTTTTGTTTATTACCGTCTTGGATCAAAACTCAACTGGAGATGATTTTTCACATACGCCACACGCGTGAAATTTTTAAACACGTCGTGATTTCTAAGATTAAATAATTTTTTCTTTTTTAAACTCGCATATTTTTCGGACCAATTTTTTCTCAGCCAGATCCTATAAAGCTCGCTCAGATATTTATTTTTTCAGGCGTAGCTACAGCACTAAATTTTAAAACGACACATTTTTTTTTTTAAATTGAAAAGTTTTCTGTCAGAACTCGCACATTTTTCGGAAGGAACTCCAACTTTTTGACATAGCTATAGTTCCATATTTTAAATAACGCACGTCATCCTAATTTAAATTATATTAAATTTTCTTGCTTAACTCGAAAATATTGGGAATCCATTGTCTCCTACGGGATCTTTAACAAGTTTAGACAGAAGCAACATTTTCCCCATGTAACTACAACTCAAAATGTTAAGCATGCTATGTTTATTCAAAATTAATTAACATTTCTCTGTTTAATATACACATTTTTATGAACCCATTTTTCCTGACTTTTTTTTCCAACCATTTTTCGAGACCGAATCGTAACAAGTTTGGGCAAAGCTCTATTTTTCTATCAGATCTAACATTCCAAGAAAAGAAGAATAAATAAATGAGAAAAATTAAAAAAAAGAAAAGGAGAAGAAACAAGAAAAAACACATAGTTGAAATAAATAATCATTACATGACCATGTGGCATTTAGTTATTGAAACAAATAGCCACATGCACTGACGGAATTAAAATTTTCGCCAAGTCAAAATATAAAGAAGTAAATACATGAAAAAATCAAAATGATCAATTTAACATGTAATATATGTAGATTAAAATTTTTTATCTAACTACACAAGATATTTTTTCCGACAAAATGGTGTCCCTTGGACAAGGCGGCTTCACCATTGACCACGTGGAGGCTTGTTTTAACTTTTTCTTTGCTCCTACGTGCTAACAAGAAACTAAAACTACTCTCACCTGCACTTGACAGTTGATACATTAGGGTGGTAATATTTGCCGAAACATGTCTTTCAAGGATAATTATAAATTAAAAACTCCGTATAACTTTAGGTGCACAAGTTAAATAATTTTAGGAGGTTTTTACGGGGTATTATTACTTTTAACGCGCGTCAAAAATTATTTATATTTGATAGCCGAAAAGTGTATAAAATTTGTATCATTTATATATATAACATACAGTATATATATATATATATATATAGACACAGAAAATATACAACAAATATATATTTTTTCGACTATTATTTTGAGAGTGGTTATACAGTGTCACTTTCCCATTTTTATTTATTAAGCATAGACATTATGGAGAATTTTAGAAATCAGTTGTCTCAAGTTACAATCACTCGTTAGAACCTCACCAACATGAGGACGAGAGAAGAGTCTCACTAAGCAAAGATTTTGGCCTCAAATCCGTCCTTAGAGGGGCAAGGAAAAATGAAATATCAGCGACTTAATTTTGTGTACGGCTAATCCAAACAATTGGACTTTTCAAACTCTTATTCGTGGTTGTGTCACAATGATCATAATTAATCAACAAAAGAGGTGAAAGTGGTTGAAGCAAACATTTTAGAAGTCCTGCGCAGAAATGGACTTCGTCAGCCCTCTTTTGTATCCAATTAAATCCCTTCGTAGTGAAGAGTTAATTTCAAAAGTAGTAACCCGTTTATCACAATTTTTGTCATTCGCTTTTCTTTTAATATGTTCCAGATTAATGATATCTTTCCATATTTAATTTGCTATGTTACCTTGGCCTTAATGAAATAATTTATAATTGGCTTATCTTACAGTTTGTTTGGATGGTTGTTACCAATCATTTTATAATGTATTGTATTGTATCGTATCACATCGTTTTATGAATACAATGTTTGAATATATTGTACTGTTTACTGTTGTTAAATAACATTTTACTTTTTGGATGTTAAGAGGAGTTGTATGTATTAAGCCTAGGGGAATATCAATCAATCAATAGATTACGTTTCTTTTCTAAATTTGTTTGGGTTATAGGTTACATAAATTCAGGTCTTTTGCATTTCATTATTAACTAATTAATCCTAGAAAAGTAGTTAATATTACTGCAACAATAACAATTAAACTTTTAATCTCAATTAGTTACTGGCACTGCATGCATGTATAGTAATAACAATTAAAAATTTAATCTCAATTATTTTTATTGGATATATCGATAATAATAATAAAAAAATATACCGCAATAAGTAGAATTTTGAGTAAAAAGCTTAAACTCAAAAGGTAACTTCATATAGTAAAAACATTAATCCCTGGTTACAAGTCGCTTGTGGCATTTAAACTATTTATAATATGCACCACAATATCTGAGTAAAACTAACAATAATCGGAACAGTAGGAACATTTCCACAAAGTCATATAGTAAAACGGAGCACACAAGTAATTTTTTTCTTTTCTTTTGGTACACAAAAAGGCAAAGCAACGGCATCTTTTTCTTTTGATTCCCGCCCCTTAATACCTGTTAGGAGCAGACTTAATTCGAATACATTCATCGTTTTGTGTAGGAACTGGAAGATGACCTTTCTCCTGCAGGCTCTTCACCGTCTCATATAAGCACTGTTTCACCGGTGTAAACTTCAAACCCAAGTCCTTTAGCTTTTGGTTCGTGAATTTGTATGGTTTTGCCCTTGGCCTCGTTTCATCCGAGCACCTGATTTTTGCAAAATGAAATAATGATAATTTAATGATGACCATACTAGCTAATCATTGCTAACAACAACATTGCAATTTCAGTTTAATAATCATTAGAGATGATTGTAATTATTAAAAAAGAAGTCTAGTCCCGTTATTGTTGACACTAAAGATTCCTATGGATACTAATGTGGGTAAAGTTAAAGGAAGAACTGGGGCCAGCCAAGATTGCAGTGTTGTACGTATCCAGCTTCAGAAATCTTGCTAGAACCATACTTGAATGTTTGTCAATAGAACCATAGCGTCAATGCTTAGGCCAACCTTTTTTTCTTGGCCAAAAGTATTTTTTTTTTTTTTTCAAAGTTAAGTGTTTGGTCTAGCTTTTTGAATGAAAAAAAGTGTTTTTGAGTAGAAGCAGAAACGTTTTTGAAAAATAGAAAAAATAATTTTTTTCAAAAATACTTTTTTGAAAAATACTTTTGAGAAAAATACACTTAAAAACACTTTTTAAAAGTTTGGCCAAACATTAATTGCTGCTCAAAAGTGTTTTTCAAATTGATTAGCCAAACACAAACTGATTTGAAAAATACTTTTGAGAAAAATACACTTAAAAACACTTTTTAAAAGTTTGGCCAAACATTAATTGCTGCTCAAAAGTGTTTTTCAAATTGATTAGCCAAACACAAACTGATTTGAAAAATACTTTTGAAAAAAAAAATCTAAGATTTTAGAAGCTTTGGCCAAACATGCTATAAATATGATTTTATAAATTATCCGTCTGGTATACCTACCGACACATCATCATTTCGACCAGAAGAAAGTACCCTTTTTAGGCATAAAGGTTCTAAACTAGATACATATGGAGTACATTTTGAAGCGCATTATTAATTAGTTGGTACCAATGTTTTCATATGAATTAACTCCTGAGAATTGAAAATTGGTAGGAATGCTTGAGAACGTGCCAACAGGTCTCCTCCTGTTCTTTCCAAGAATATTAATGTACTAACTTTTAACGAGGAAAATTCACCAACTTCTAAACAACTATCAGAATATAGAATTTAAAAAAGTTAAATAAAGCAGAATTTTTTAGGCACTAAGGTTAGTTCAAATAAAGGATAAAATTTGCTACGCCATAGATTTGGGAAGTGAAATTACTTGCTGGGGATTGGATACTCCGGGAAAAATTTGGCAAGAATTTCAACCACATCGCCGCGATGAAGCACCCTCTCAGCACAAATATAGCGGCCAGATGCAGAAGGAGTCTCGTAGAGAAGTATGTGGGCAAGAGCAACATCCTTAACATGCACATACGCCTGGATTGAATTGGCATAAGTTTTAGCAGAGCCAGTGAGGTACTTTAGGATGTGAAGAACACTCGCATTCACTGTTGGTTGGAGCAATGGTCCAAGCACCAACACTGGATTGATCACCACTAAATCCACTCCTTTTTCCTTAGACACTTCCCACGCTGTTTGTTCTGCTATCGTCTTCCCATAGCAATACCAATTCTGCAAAGTCATAACAATAGTTACGCCTCAATACCAAAGCAAATTGAGATTCGTTGTATAAATTGGCACTATCAACTATCAAATTCTATGAAAAAGGACAGTCCGGTGCACAAAACATTCTGCGTTCACACTGGATTTGGAAAAGGACTGTACCCAACGAGTATGATGTAGACAACCTACCAATTTACGAATTAATACGAATTCAAACTCATATATAGTTGTTCCCTTGTACTTGAGTGGTGGTGAGTGATTCCAATTTCCAATTTTATACCAAAATATGCATGTTTTGGAGGTCTTTTTCAGTTATGCCATTGTTTTGAATTAGCTAAAAGACATGCTCATTAATGAATTATTTGACAAATGACGGACCTTAGTATTCTTGCAGAAGTCAAGATCACTCCAGCAAGTTTCGTCCACAACTTTATCCGGAGCCCGGTTGGGGTCCATGTAAACCGTCCCTATTGACGAAGTAAACACTACCCTTTGCAGTTTGGCTTCTGCTGCTGCTGTTACTACATTCTTTGTCCCAATTACTGCTGGCTCCACCATTTGTTCCTTTATCAACCAAAATAAAGAGAAAAAAAAAAAAACCGGATTATCCTCGTTTGGGTAAAAAGAATACTGCACTATATTTCGACTTTGTATGGACATATTAGTGGAAGTGTGGAACTAAAAGCTAAAGCAAATATGCTACTACTTGCTAGTGCACCTTCGACGTGTTAGGCTGTTAGCCAAAGATGAATTAGGGTTATAGGCGTGGACCCACCGCTTACATAACTGATCCTTTTTTGTAATACATATACAGTCTCTCCATGTTTTCTGGATAAATCTCAATCAACCACCATAAGTAAAGGAAGAATCCTAACCCACTGAAGTTGATTGACTATAAACAAACGAAGAGACGATTCCACAATAACTATTCTCTACTAATTTTCCATGGTTATATAGTTTGATTTAGCACAAAATTTAATTAAAAAATAAAGAATTTCAAAATTGATGATATTAAACTGTAAAAAATTTAAAATTTATTGTGAAATATATCATAATATTTATATAGCTATAAAAAATTATTAAAAAAATATCGAACTATGTCATTCTATTTGCAACATATTAACAAAAAAATAGTGCCAAACAAAAGTCAAGCTGAGAGTAACTAATACCTAGTGAGACACGAAAGATTAAACAGAATGGGGAAAGCATGCAATTCTAATAGTAGCTTTAATTCTAAATAAAATCTTTATATAACTTTTTGAAATATATGACTATTTTAGTCTGGGATTTATGGATCAGAATCACGTTGGAAGTATGTGATTCTTTCAGATAAATAAAATAGTTTCTTCTTCTTACTGGATCATCAGTGACAGGTGAGGCAGTGTGGAAAACTCCGTCACACCCATATATTGCTTCTCTTAAACTCTGGTAGTCCAAAAGATCAGCTCTGCACAGAGTCAGTCTTTCCTTTGCACCTTCAAGTTCCCTCAAGTGATTATTCTTGGGATCATCTGTACAAAATACGCATGCACAAACCCAGAAAATAAAAAAATTAAAGCAACTGGGGAAATGTATCATGAACTTTAATTTTTACTGAATATAATCTGCATAAGAAATAATGAATTCAAAACTATTACCAGGGTTCCTAACGGTTCCTCTAACAGTGTAACCTTTTTCTAGAAGGAGTTTAACAAGCCAAGAGGCAATGAATCCTCCGGCGCCGGTAACACAAACAACTTTGCCGGATTCTGATGGCATAATGCTTACGTTTATGGTTGGAATAGTTATGATAGAGGGATTTGAGAATGAAGCTTTTGATAAACCCAATAAGTTAGAAGAAATATGGAACGGGGGACAAGTTTATATAGAATTTGAAAAGCCAAATTAAAGCCATGTTTAATTACCAACTTACCTACTACGATTACTAACTCCGTTTTCGTACATATTAAGATATGCACATTTTAGTATTAATTAATAAAAAAATTGATCATATTGATCTTAATTTGTCCATCGGAAATATAACAAATACTCCTCGATTTTTTATTTCAAGATCAACTTTGGAAGAATAAAAAAAATTAACTCTTTATCAATATCTGAAAAAATTAAATATTATAAACCACAAAAATGAAGCCAAAAATCAATTAAAACTGACCGAAGTAAGCACAAAGTAAATATTTGTTGCACTTAACTTAAATTTGTTTCGTTACTATCTAGAGACTTTCACATTGTCAGGATTGGTCAGCATTTAACTTTTCTTGAAACGCCGTTACCATCGTCAACCTGAACCTACTATATTTGTTTAATTATACTCGCTTCGTTCACTTCTACTTATCATGTTTTGCTTTTCAAGAGTCAAACTATATAAATTTTGACTAATATTTTAACATATATTTTTTTACCATATTAATATGAGAAAAATTACAAATTATAGTACTTTTCATATAGTTTCCGAATATCTAAATTTTAATTTTAAAATATTAAAAAAATATAATACAATTCAACTTTAAAAATTAATTAATTTGACTCTCGAAAAACGAAACGTGATAAGTAAAAGTAAACGGAGGGAGTATGAATTTTAAAAATATTTTCTCAACACGTGTTTGTATTTGTTTTTGTTTTTTTCTCTCCCAGATCGGGTAAAGAATTTCTAGACCATTAAGATTATTTTACTTAAAACTAGTAGCTAGATATGATTTTTTAAGAGCGGGTACGTAGCTTATTACAGAAAAGACGGTCATACGTTGAACCAGATCAGATTATGCTGATTGTGCTTGTGCCTATTACATCAGATTACTTTGATTGTGTAAATTAAATTATTAAATTACAAAATGAAAAACAATTGACCTTAATTATTATAATGAGGACTAAATAAGATCCTAACCAAAATACAATTGTATAATTTTTATCGAAAGCAAGTGAATGAATATTAATCTGTCAAGTGTTCTACGTCTAGAGTTTTCAGTGACAGAAAAAGTAAATGTTCAAAGATCAATAAGATCATATGAATTTTTTTTGTTAACGTTGAAAAATAGTATAGAGTATAGACATACAAGATTACTCCCTCGAAAAGAGGAATTACGTCTCAAGGTTTAATCTTTCTTCTTTGCATCTCTCGGACTCTTTCATGGGGATTATTTTGACTTCTCTTCCTGTTCAAAACAAGTTCTTATAATAAACTCGTGTGGTTTAATTTTAAAGTAGTTTTTTGTTTATCCTAAGAATTGAGTAACAATTAAATTTATATTGTGGTTTTAAGGATATGTGATTTAAACCAGCACCAATTGATAAACAACGAATTAAATAGATAACTTGGACAATAAAATAAATCAAACCGGTCTGCAAGCGATGCCTCGACCTCGATTCGAAGTAGTCTCAAGATTAATTAATAAGAACAGTATGGTATAGAACAAACAACGATGAATAGTGATGAACAAAGAAAACAACGTACAACGTATATGTATATTCTTATCAGTGAATGATGATGCCTACAAATAATTGGAACTCCTCTTTATATAGTAGAGGAAACATAATTATGGTACAACTCTAATAACGGAAATAGACCCCATGATTAGCAATAATAACCGCTTTGATTTGATCTGTTCCGGGATTTTCGCCGTAATCTTCGACCGATTATTACGCCTCACTCGAAGTCAGTCATACTTGATCCCGATTGTTTCTTGGCCTTGATCTCAATGAATATTTCGATTTCCAGGCTCGACGTTCTATCTTCGAGCTCGAGCCCGATCTATCACGAGGTTACCCTCGAGGCACTCCCCTGCCGCCGAAATCGAGTATGTCCGATTTCGACCGCATACAGATAGTCCCCTCGTTTTTTGGGCTGTAACGAGAAGAAAACGAATTCGAGACTTCGATTTAATACCTCAATCAATTATGACGTCATTATCATGACGTAAGCGACTGAAGCGTCGCGTCTGCACAGTTCCCAAAGTCATTAATTAATGCCAGTTGATGGTCGGCCATTAGTTCTTTCAAACCGTCAAAGTGGCTATTATAAATAGACCACCTTCATAATCTTCTCAAACTTTAGTTTCAAACTTCTTCTAATCTTCAAAAGCTCTTCTATCTTCTTCAAGTTCATCAATTTTCCAGTTTCCGTTTACCAATCTCTTATTAAAATACAAATTCTGCATTCTTCTTCCTTAAACCTCATATAGCAGTGGCAAGAACATCAAAGACCGTTCCTCAAGGAGAAAAAGCCTCCTCATTGCGGCCGGCCGGTGACAAAAAACCGGTAGAGCCACGTATCGAAGAGTGCATCTCTGGGCCATGCGAACTTACTTCCGACTTTAAAGTCGAAAAACCCTCTTTGGTTCCCGGCCGATGCGAGCCCATGTCTAGATACATCTGTTCGATATCCGAAGGCGATCTCGAGCAGGTAAAAAAGGACTGCCACTGGGAGAATAAAGAGGTGGTGATTCCTACCCTCGAAGAGGACATCACCATTCACGTGAAAGGGTTCTTAAGTGTGTATACTTACCCTTTTATACTGGGCTCCGTCGGTCCTGTCATAATCGACTTCTGCCGCCAATACCGGGTAACCCTAGGCCAGATCTACCCCTCTTTTTGGCGTATTGTCATTTTGCTCATATTCTTCTCGAGCAAGATCGAGGAGATGTCTTTCATCCTCGATCATCTCATTAGGGTATACAACCCCCGTCTTTATTGGGATGGACTGATAAGGCTTCAGCGTCGAGCCACGAATGTGCTATTCTCGAGCATATACGAGGACAAGGACCGAGGATGGATGTGCAGGTTTGTCCGAGTCAGGACCTCCGATTTAATCCCCACCGAGAAGATGCCATTCCCCGAAAAATGGAATATGAGGCGTAATTAAAACTTCACCGATAACGTTTGATTACTTGTTATGTTTTCCTTTACCTCTTCTTATCTATATTTTATTTATGGTACAGCTTCCCCCTGGTTTCCTGGTGCAATCCCGGACCTTGCAGGTTGGGTTCGACAACTGGTTTCAACTTCCTCGTATGCTGAGCGCTCGTGGCGTGATTTGGCCAAGAGTCAATGGGAGGCCAAAAATATGGTAAGTTCCCCCGTCCGTGTTTGATGTTTTCCTGTGAAATACTTCATTTTAACTTGATTTCTTCTCGTACAGGTCTTGGAGATAGTGTCATTATAAGGCAGCCTTCCCTCAGGGAATAGGAGGTCCCGACACCAGATACCCCAAAGCCCAAGAAAAGCAGGGCTCGAAAGTCGAAGACTGATCTCGCCATTTTTCCTGTCGATGTAGTCCAAACGTTACGAGATGAAGACGAAGACGAAGACGAAGAGGATGTCGACTACCTGCTGGTGGCTCGGAAGAGGGAAAGCATCGAAGCTTCGAAAGCTGCTGAGCTGGTGACAATCGAGGGGGTTCAACCGCAGACCGAGGTGATCTCGGGGAAAGGTCTGAGCAGAGTCCCCGAATCATCGGGTGTTGATGATGCTCCCTGCCGTGATGAGCAACCGGCGGGTATGCCTAAAGGGTCTAGTTCTGAGGCCCTTCAAAGAGAAGATAATGCCCCAAGTGACTCACTTGAGGTAATTAATATTGACGATTCACCGCCCGGCCCAACGTTCTCCGAGGGGCAGTTTCGGGATGCCCGGTCCATGGGGACGGCCCCCAAAGGGGATGACCTATTTCGTGGTTGCTTCGCGGGGGTTGATGATTTTTGCGACCTTGATGCATCACTCATTTTTTATGAGGCTCAGCAGCTTCTGAACCAAGTGAGTTTTAGCCCATGCTACCATGCTTGCATTTGTTCTTATTCTCTAAGTCTGATTTCCTTTCTTTCTTGATGGGGTACAACGCTCCATCGAGAAGAGTCTTCCAAGTACCAAGCTAAGCTGGCCCGATGCGAGGCCGATCTCTAAAAGCTTATGGAGGAGAGAAATGCTCTCAAACTCCTCTATGTGCACAAAGAAGAGGAAATCATGTGCATTCGAGCCGAGCTGACAAGGGCTCATCAAGATCAGACCGAGCTCATTGAGCAGGTAATGTCAATTTTTGTTATGTATTAACTTGATATTGGCGACCAACACTTTGATTCTGCAGGTTCAGCAGAAGGTCGAATTGGTTGAGCAACTTCGTGGGGAAGCCAAGATGAAAGAGGCAGAGACTTTGGGGTATAAGCAGAGCATAGACCGTCTCGCTTCGGAGAAAGGTGCAGTTCTGGCCTAACTCTCTTCGGTTGAGCGTCAGCTCCAAATGTGAAGGTGGAGAACTTGGCCTGAGTCCAGAAGATTAAAGAGCTCGAGACTCGGTTGACCGCTGAGCTTGCAAGGGCCACATCCGAGGCAGAGGTGCTCGTGGCCTCCTACCGAGCCGACGCTAAAGCTGCTAACACTCGGGCAAAGGATAATAGTGGTTATTTGATATAAATCTCTGTAAAACACACCATTTTACATTTGCTCTTGGAAGTATCTTTGATTTCAGGCTAAAAATGACGAACTCTCAATTAATTCCCCTACATGTCGACAACGAATCTGGCTATCAAGGGGAGAATAACAACAAGACTCCCGGGGATAGAAGGCCACCTGATGACCCCATTGAAACTCGGGTCGTGGATCCGATTGATGTTAATTCGCATGTGGCCATCGAAGCGAACCAACATTCCGGTCCCGAAAACAACATCCATGGTGGAATTCGATCTGTAGTACGAAATACCCAAAATATTGGAGAAGACGGGATCAACCTGCATATGATCTTCGAAATGCTGCAAGCTCAACAAGTGGTGATAGCTCAGTTGCAGAGCCAAACCCAAGCACCGATCAGGGCTGAGCCTGGTCCACCCCAAGAAGTCACCCACAGAACGAGGCCAGCTG